GAAAATCCCAAAAAGAAGTTTTTGTTTGATTAAAACTCATTCCTACTTGTTAAGTGTTAATCAAGTAATCTTTTCTTTGGCTATCCTTGTTTTGATCGTGTTTATTTTATCCCTTTCTAGCCGCTGTGGTGCTTTGATCTAGTGTTATTTTTGTGAGATACAGGAATAACATAGGAGAAAAGTCCCCCAAGATGCCGTGTTACAAATGCTAACAGCCATCCGTGAAGAGATGAGGGCTATGAGAGAAGACTTTGGTGCAAGGCTTGTCCGTTTAAAGCAGCCGCCCCCACCACCTCAACCACCCGCAACGCCCATACAACCCGTACCACCAGTACCAGCACCAGCACCGAGAGGCCCCATAAGGAACTTACGAGAACTTGAGGAGAACATGCCAGAGGTTGAGGAAGATATACCCCCGGATCCATTACAACAACAGTACCAGCTGGCACAAGACCTGTTAAGAAGGCAACGAGGACGTGAGGAAGATCCCCGAGAAGGCAACATGGAGGTTAAGCTATACGTTCGCTGGCAAATCAAGCCCTGATGTCTATCTAGATTGGGAGAGGAGGCTTGAATACATCTTTGACTGCTACGGCTATGGAGACCGTAAGAAGGTAGCCTTAGCAGCCGCTCAACTCACCGACAATGCCATTGCTTAGTGGGACAGAAATGTAGCTGAGCGAAGGCGTAACCGTTTTGCTGCTGTCATAATATGGCGTGACATGAAGTTCTTGCTAAGGTCAAGGTATGTTCCTGATTCATGCCATAGAGACTTACATAAACGATGTAGAAAGTTGACGCAGAGAATAAGGACCGTGGATGAATACTTTGAGGAGTTTGAGAAGCTCATGAATCTATTGGAGTTAGAGGAGTCAGAGGAGGCCCTAATGGCGCAGTTCATAGACGGCTTACATGAGCGTATTGCTCGGAAGGTCGAGAGAACTCAATGCAGATGCATGAGCTTTTGCATCTCTCGGTGCAAATATAGCAGCATATCAAGCGCAAGACCAGCTTAACAAACCGTAGCCGAGCTCCCCTACCATGGACAGCCAGTAGCTTTAAACCGGTGGACAAAGGGAAAGCCGTGGAGGTTGACCTTCGTTTTAAAGGCAAAACCAAGGAGCCTCCCAAAACAACTCGGCCAGAGCCTAGTAAGTATCCTAACACATCTAGAACTCGTGAAATCATATGCTTTAAGTGTCAGGGACGCTGCCATATGTCTCGGGAATGCCTCAACCAACGAGCCATGATCTTAACCCCGAGTGGAGATTATGAGTCGCAAGACGAGAGCGATGATGAGCCAATGGAACTAGATGGAGAAGTGGACTATCCTGACACGGTAGAGTTGCTTGTCACCAGGAGAATCCTTAGTGCTCTAGTGGTACCAGAAGAAAAGGTGCAATGTGAGAATATCTTCCATACCCGATGCACCATCCACAACAAGGTATGTAACCTCATAATAGTTGGCGGTTCATGCACTAATGTCGCTTCAAAGTATATGGTGGATAAGCTAGGTTTGGAAAAGACTAAGCACTTGAAGCCTTACAAGCTGAGATGGTTGAACAACCAAGCCGAGCTAAGGATTGTCGAGCAAGTTATTATCCCCTTCAGCATTGGCACGTACCAAGATGAAGTGACGTATGACGTCGTACCAACGCAAGCCAGGCATCTTCTGCTGGGAAGGCTGTGGCAGTTTGATCAGTCTACGAGCCACAATGGAAGGACTAACTGCTACTCCTTCACATTCAAAGACCGAAAGCATAACCTAGCTCCTCTAAAGCCAAGTGAGGTACATGAAATGCAAAATCATATGGCCAAAGAGAGCGAGGTAAATAAGACTAATCGTTTCATTAAAACTAGTGATATTTGTAAAACCATGTGTGCCCAGGGCACCGTGCTACTAATGGTTTTCAAAGAATGTTTAAGTACAGATACAACAGAGTTAACTTGGCCAAGCGAGTTACAAGCCGTGCTAGAGAGGTTCAAAGATGTCTTCCCTGATGAGATACCAGCCGGGCTGCCTCCGGTAAGGGGAATAGAACATCAAATTGATCTTGTACCCGCTTCAGCCTTACCCAACAAGGTAGCTTACCGTATGAACCCTGAAGAGATGAAAGAACTTGAGAAGCAATTCAAAAAACTGATGAATAAGGGCTACATTTGAGAGAGCCTCAGCCCGTGCGCCGTACCGGTGCTGTTGGTACCAATGAAAGACGGTACATGGCGGATGTGTGTAGACTGCCGTGCCATCAACAACATCACCATAAAGTACTGCCACCCCATCCCACGTTTAGATGACATGCTAGACGAGTTGAGTGGTGCAACAATGTTTTCAAAGGTGGACTTACGAAGTGGCTATCATCAAGTGCGAATGAGAGAAGGCGATGAGTGGAAAACCGCTTTCAAAACTAAGCAGGGGCTGTACGAGTGGTTAGTTATGCCTTTCGGCTTAACCAACTCTCCTAGCACTTTCATGCACCTCATGAACCAGGTTCTAAGATCATTCATTGGTAGATTCGTAGTAGTTTACTTTGATGATATATTGATATATAGCAAGAGCCTCATGGATCATATCATGCATTTAGAGCTCGTTTTGAAAACACTTCGAAAGGAAGGTCTATATGCCAACCTTAAGAAGTGCTCCTTTTGTACTGATAAGCTTGTGTTCTTAGGCTTTGTAGTGAGTGAGCAGGGCTTACATGTGGACGATGAGAACATAAAAGCCATTCAAGAATGGCCTACACCCTCCAGCATCAGCCATGTTCGAAACTTCCATGGTTTAGCCTCATTCTACCGCTGGTTTGTCAAAGATTTTAGCACCGTATCTACCCCACTTACCGCTGTTATCAAGAAAAACGTACCATTCTCATGGGGAGAGCCACAAGAAGCTGCATTCAATGACCTTAAGGAACGATTGACGCGAGCACCCGTACTAGCCTTACACGACTTTGAAGTTATGTTCGAGGTTGAATGTGATGCATCAGGAGTTGGCATAGGCGCGGTACTACACCAGAAAGGGAGGCCCGTTGCGTTTTTAGGCTAAATTTCAGATAAACTTTCAAATGACTTATAACTTCTATTGATGAACTGTTGAATACTATAAATTCTCTGAAGCGAGCTCTTTCCAGAGACAGCTCAATCGTTGTTTGGGTCTATCTAGTCTGGGCGTAATCTTCCTCCAAAGTAGGCAACACGCACACTGTAATTCCTGGATTTAGACTGCAGGTTTCTCAGGCGTTTCTTGACGGGGAAGCAAGCTCTCCATGCGACACTTCCGGTGGAATTAGGGTTCCGACTTGACAGCTTTCGAATCTTGATTTGATGGTGAACACTTTGGTACCTTTGCTGCACTTAACCGGCGTTTCCACAACCACCAACATTCCTCCAAAGTTGCCTCAATCACACTATCTTCTTCTTCAATCTGATTTGCTTGAACACCGCTTTTGCCTTTCGGATCTGCTCGGATTTGATTCGTTTCTTCTTCTATTTACTGTCACAAACTAGATATTCCTTTTCCATTGTTTTCTTTCGTGGTGGTGTTCTCTTCCCCACGACGACTTCTCCGATCTACTCCCCCATGTCTTCTTTTTCTCCATCTCTCCTTCTTCGTTGTCCTCTCTAATTTCTTCCTCCTCTACACTAATCAGCTTCTGATGATCACTCCGCCATCAAAGCTCTGCCATGACCATACCACCATTGGGGTAACTAACTCAACCACCGACATCATCGTGGCTCATCTCTTCGTCATTCCACTTTTCCTCCTTCATCACCCATGACCTCGTTTGAAAGCTTTCTTTTTCTTAATTAGCTTTCTCTTTCTCTCTTCTTCTTATCTCTCTTGTCTTGCACAACGATGATAGTGACGACAACTTAAAGTAACGAACGCTCATAACACCAAAACCCTTATCATTTATCATGCTTCTACTTGGGACTTATTGGGCTTCAATTAAAAAAAATGGGGCCCAAGAGAATATAAGGAGCGGGGTGTTACACGTATCGACTTCCTTTCTCGATGTTAGTCATTGATGCAGACCAACAGCTTGGAATCCTCGTGCTGATCATCTTCCTCTCGTCCTGCTGCTTGCATCGAGCATACTCCACGGGTGTTCTGCTCGATATGCTTGCTCGATATTGACCAGACTTTGCAAGATCTTCATTTCTGACATCTTCTTTGATCACGAGCTGCTTCCATCTCCTTCCCAGCTCCAACAAACTCCAAAAACACCTGAAAACCACCACAAATATGCACATGTATGCAATCCTAAGCTAAATGCATGCTATGTTGATTCTAAGTGCAAATGATGCTAAAATACTAAATTATAATACCAAAACACAGGAAAAGATGCATGAAATGCAGCCTAAAATGATCTAAAATAGCAAGCTATCAGGCATCCATCATCTCAGATACTTTTGGAGATTTAGAACAGTTTATATCAGATTAGTTTTCCAGACAGTAGTGTATCATATATGGCTGGAGCAAAACGCTAGGAGACATAGAGCAAGTTGGATGGGTGATTTGAAACTTATCCGCATGCTTGATAAAGCAACGAGATATTGAATATCCTCCGTGAAGAAAACTATACCGCACAAGTTGGAAGCGCTTCAGCGCAGGTGGTTTGAGATGGATAGGCTGATGTAGATTTTTTTTTTACCGTTGCTGTTTTTTTTTTACACTAGTCTAGCAATTCTTTTATAAATATCTCAGATGATCAATAAATTTGAAATTTCATCCAATTTTTTTTTTATGATGTGAAAAACAAATATGGTATAACATGACAACTATTTTTATTTATTTATTAATAAACGATAAACACATGTAAATTACATGCACAAACAACAATGAACATGTCAAACAATGAGAAATACTAAAACAAAAACATTGACTTGAATATGAAAATAAATTGATAGAAATTTAAATTAATTTAAGAGTTTATTATATGTTTTGACGTTTTTAGGTAAGTTAAAACATATTACAAATATTGTTGTCAAAGTTGAGACACCTTCAGAGAATTGTCGTCCCCGATTTCATTATCACTACCTTCTCTTTTGGGCATATCAGTATTTTCTTCACCAGATTGTAAAATTCTCTACATATAAAAATAAATATTTTCATTAATATTTTTTTAAGATTTAATATCGATAGAGAAGAGAGAGAGAAAAAGATAAGTTATAAGAAATGTACGGCCATGGATTATCTCCAACGAGAATTATATCTTTTTCATCGTCTATGAAAATGATTTCCCATTGATTAGGTATACGCAATTCGTCTTTAAGATCAAAGAGTTTTTCTAACTCATCGATCAACTCATTGTATCCACAAAAAACAGTTAAATCCACGGTTCTCCCTATGGCTACACCTTGCATCTGAACCTGTTCAAAAAAGATATCAAGAAACTAATCAGTATCGTCTCAATTTATTTAAAAACATTATGAAAGTTTTTTTTCTATATATTTAATGTATTATAATATCTCATGTTAAAGTAAAGATTTTAATATAGATAAACATCTAATCTTTATAATATATATATTTTTGAATTGGATATATTGTTTTATGTTTAAGTTAAACATACAAAAAATACAGTTCTAGAACTCACTATATATATATATATATATATATATAAAGAAAATAAAGACACTTTGTCATACCTTACTACGACTTCTATGAGACTTGATTTGCTTGTTTTCGTTATTTTTTGGTGTTGTAAAATCTTGGGGTTGGCTGAGCTTATTTTCTTCACAGATTTTAGAAATTTCTGACTTTCCATTGGAGTCAATTAGTCCCACAGTATCTTTTGAGATGTTGGGAGCCCTTAAATCCACTCCAAACAATTTGTACCTAGTGGTTGTACTAACGGTTTCTTTGGTTGGGACTATGTAATACATTAGCCAACCAAATAAAATCTTAGAATCATCGACTGAATCATGGTAACTAAATTGAGGAACATTGATCAGAGAATTCATGCTTGATTGGCCCATTTCCTGGCATTGAGTAAGTGTAGGAGTCCACAAATTCGAACCTATGTATAGAAATATAATAAGAACAATTTCACAAAGAAGCTTTAACTCACTAAAAAAATGCTTTCTTACCTATTTCAACAAGTTGGAATTGACGTTTGTTCTTAAGCAATGACGATTCAAGAGCAATTGATGAAGGTGCAAAAATTTCAATATCCCATGATGAAATTCTATTAGGTCTTTGAATTGATGCAACTTCATCCCACTGCACCTAGAAAAACAGAAGCTTGTGAATGTTATTTATAACTTTTTTTTAGGTGTGTTTTAAAATAATGTATAAATATAGATAGAGATATTCTTACTTTTAAGTTTCGCCATTCAGAGTTCCTCCAATAAGAAGATAAATCTTCTATTACTGTAATTTTTCCAGAGTATCTTTTGCAATGATAACAAACATATTTTTAATAAACATATTTTGGTAACAACTAAAATATTTTTAATAAATATATTTTGGTAACAACAAACAAAAATAAGTATTTAAGTTTTACCTTTTTTCATTAAAGTCATCATCTTCGAACAACATCGCAAATCTTGAATTTACATTGAACTTGTTATTCACTGCATCTAAATATTTGTCAAAGCTTACAATGAATTGGCTTGACCTACGAATAGCGAGAACCAAAATATAAGTATATTTGTTGTAAAAACCAATTACATGATGTTTTAAATTAAGTATCAAAGTATTTTTTTTCATTACCTTAGCTTATAGAACACCGTAAACAGAATTTTTGTTTTAAAAGCATTCATTGCAGATGCTATTACTCCATGTTGCATCCTATGTGAAGAAACAAGAACTGAAGGTATGTTGCCTTCTTGGTGACCTACTCTTCTAGTTCCAATTAGTGTCTCCCCGTTTTCTCCTCTTTAAAAGAAAATATTTTATGTCGAAAATCAAAGAACAAAAATGTAAAAAAACTAAAATATATACATAAGGAATATAAAAAAGTCTCCAGCGACCAATTGTTCTGCGGTTACAAATGCATTCCATCCAGTTGTGAAAAGATGCCTACGCGGTATACCTACTTAATTGTTTATAAAAAAAATTAAGATCAGTAATCACAAAGTCGTATATGGAATTTTTTTATTATCTTCAAATATATGTTCAAATCTCCATTCACAACCATGCAGATCTGTTGCAACTATTTCTTGTGTTGGTGTAGGATGAGACATATCCTAGAAAAAAATTCAAAAAAATACATTTATAAGTAAGCTTGTAATTCGAGACAAAACATTAGTTGATAAACTAAGTATATATACCAAAGAGGGAAGACATTCAAAAGCATGTTTTTTTAAAACCGATAATCCACCATGTGGACTTGTATCAGAAGCGCTTAAAACTTTGGTGAAATAATAAATTTGTGGATTTTCTTGATTGCTACTTGGAATAGGGATTCCAAATTCCAATAAAATTTTGAAATCCAAATATTTATTTAATACAGGTTAGAAAAACATAAAATATAAAAATTAAGTTTATAAATTTAGCCACTCACAGTTGTATCTGGCAGCAAAGCCACTTCAGCATACAATTCATTTATATAGTTTTCTACCTAAAATCAAACAACAAAATAAGTAACAAGTTTGTTTTTGATGACAATAACATAAAGTAATATTATATATCTTCTGACCAAATATTGGTAATGCTCATTCTCTAAAGTAGATTATTAATACTAAGAGACATACCTTTAACTGAATTCCAATAACATTGCACGAAAGCTTTGAAGGAATATCATAAAGTGGCTGGATTTTAGCCAACTCAGTATTTGTAGATGCTTCAAGCTGATAATGTCATCAGATTGTAGAAAAAAGATTAACAAGCCAAGATAGAAGAATGGGAGAGAATATATAAGGATACATGGAGAGAAACTAACCTGCTCTATGTGTCCTTAAGGAAAGTAATAAACTCTCTTGCATTCTCTGTTTTAGAAATTCATTTTTTGGTTCAAAGATTAAGGTAAATTTTGCTAAGAACCTTAATTTCTTGTGTTTAATCTATACAAGATGAAATATGATGCATTAGAATGATTGTTGAGATTGTTTTGCATAATTTTGTTTATGGTTTTGATTTGCATGTCACCATTGTTGCTCTTCTTTGATGATTTATGGTTTAAATGTTTGGGAAATGCTCTTTTTGTGCTTAATTTGACATAGTGTTCAGTTTGTCGACAAAACTAAGCATGCTATTGTTTTTCCATCATATTTACGATTTAATTGCTTCATATTAGAGTAGTAATGATGAATCTGACGCGTTTTCATAATTTGGTGGAGAGAAGATGATGTTTTTGCTGCATATGCTTGAAATTGACGAAGTTTCTGCTTGTTACTATGGGAATTTTAATTTTCAGTGTGTTTATCCTTTGAGCTAGAACATTTTGCTAAATTCGACTCTGCTTGTTGCCAATCATTGTGAATTTTCATAGAATTTTCCTGTGCATGCTTGATTTTTGAAAAATAGTTTTCTGTACAGTGCTCTCAAAGGAAGTTTATGCTAACCTTTGCTTCAAGCATTGCATTTTCAGGTACTATGTCAAGCGCTAGAGGAGATGAGGAGATTTCTGACTCAAATGCTGCTGCAAGAAAAAGAGCAGAGGGAAAAAGGCCAGTGGTTGAAGAAGAACAAGTCCAAGATACAACACCTAAGCTCAAAGACTATATAAGGGCGATGAGGAGAGTGGACTTTGCTCCTACAAGATATGCTAGGCCTGGTCTGTTGGAAGAGCTGGGAATTAAGACTGAGGTGGATGAGCTGTTAAGCAACATTGGACTTGAGAAGTTTGCTAGTCTTGGGTATCCAACATACAAGCAACTTTCTTGTGAGTTCCTTGCAAGCTTCAAAGTCTACTTTTACAAATTTGATGAAGAATATGATGAAGAAGAAGAAGACTTTGGCAATAGATTTATCAATCTCAGGGCCAACAAACCATGGTATACCATGGGGTTCACTCAGCTTGAAGAAATATTTGGATTTGATCAAGGTTAAAGAGCACAAATCATGAGCTTTAAGCACAATGAGCTAAGGCATGTGTGGGAGGAGATAGCGAATGACGCCTATAGAGATGGTCATCTGAGGAGCGCTAGTATCTGCCATCTAGCTATCAGATATGATCATAGGGTCCTCACCATCACACTTTTCTACAGAAAAGAACAGAGTATGGTCAAAGAAGAACAGATGGGGTTGATTGTGAATGGCTTAAAGAACATTATGATGGAGACAAGGCATAGGAAGATTCATGGAGAGCGCTTAGGAGTTGGTCTTATGACAATCCTAATGAAGCAATTTCTATCTTGTCAACAATGGGCTTTCAACACAAGAGAGAAGAATTCTAAAATAATCTTTGGAGGTGTGATCACTCCCATCTTACTTAATGCTGGAGTTGAGCTTGGCACACCATATGTTAGCATGATCTTCGTTGATGTCCCATATTTCAACAAGATTGGATACCTCTCAGGAGCTGTGGAAACCGAATTTGGCTATCAGGTTGAGCTGGAAAACAGGAAGTGGAAGATCATCTTTCCAATGCAGCACCTCACCAACTTCACCACTTATGAGAACATCCGCTTCATGCCAACAGTAGATGAGCTTTATGATACTAGGACTGATCCTCCATTGATGAGGCCAAGCAAGGTTAAGAACATGAGCACCATCAGAGATTCAGATGTGGAAGAAGGTATTGAAAGCAACATCAAGAACAAGAGGTTCGACATCAAGGGAGAGAGGCGGATGAACATGAAGACTATGATAGCCGCCCTTATGCATTTGACCCTTGTGATGTGATCTGCATATCTAAAGCTTCAAAGGCTGCTCATGAGCATATTAAGCTTCTTAAGAGGTGAAATAATTTCCAAGATAAGGCTATTACAGGCTTGCTGAAGAAAGTTAAAGCCAGCAAGAAGTCGGTTAATTCCTTGAAGAAGAAAGTGAGAAAGCTCAAGAAGAAGTTGGGAGGATCTTTATCAGCCAAAAGAACTGATCAAGCGGTTCAAGCAGAACCACAAGGGAGAGGATCTGATGCTGAGGACATGTCTGAGGACATGTATGAGGACACACCAGAAGCCACATTCCAGGAGAGACACTCTTTCCACATCAGTAAGAGGCCAAGAACACATGTAGCTCAACCGGTCAGGCACTCATCTCATGTAGCTGTTCCAAGGCACAAAGGAAAGAAGAGAAGGGCTAGACACCAAACTCCATATGTGGAAGAAGATTCTTCGTCCAATTCCATTGAGATTTCAGACTCTCACCACTCTTCCACCTGAAGTAAGGTACACCCCACTAACCATTGTAAATACCACAATTTGTTTTTAAGATTCTATGTGATTGTTTGCTTGATGTTTGTGAGCACTCTCCTTATCATTTTTTATTACACAGGCACTGTGTAATTTAAGTGTGGGGGAGGTTGTATGATGGACTGATGCTTGCACTTGCATTCGCATATTAGAATAGAAACCATGCATCATGTTTACATAGCATCTAAGGCATAGAAAAGACTAACAAAATTGAAAATTTTTCGAAAATTGCTTCACAAAAAGAATTTGATTTTCATGCATTCTAAAAGGATCTAGACTTCATGCAATCATATAGGACTAGTGATATCTCATACATTTACATCAATTAGGCTTGCATTTAATTCATGTTTCAGTCTTCTTTTGCATGTTTTTTTTTTCCTTTAGTCCCATTTTCTTCTCCTTTTAGACTTAGGTTGCATCTAGGTTGTAGTTTACATTTTCCATGCATTAAGGATGTTTTTGGGAATGAACCAAGGAGCTAGCCAAGCTTAGAGGGAGCAAGAGAAGCCGAGGAAGATGTCTCCGAAGTCCCATCGGTCAAGGCAGGAACACCATCAATGCAACTGACGTATATCGATCACCTTCAAGACCGATGGGATTGCAACAGATGTATATCGATCACCCTATCGATCATCTTCAAGACCGATTGCAAACCTATTGATCACTTATGATCGATGGGATCCAATCCGAACGTGCTTCTATTTACCATTTTGCCATTATGTTAGGGCATTTGTCTTGTAGTATTAATACCATGTTCTGAGAACTTTTAGACTAAGTCTTTTTCCAGTTTACTGTTCTTGGTTGATTTTTCTGTTTTTGTAAGACAAATTCTATCTTTGCTTAATCTAAGTTTGTATTTGCCTTTAATCCTTTCAACTTGCAACTCTTCTGTTATTCAACTTAACTCCCTTTGGATTGACATAAAACTCAAATACTACAACTGACTAGTACAATGGGTGATTGACCAAGAGAGTCAAAAACTCTTGTATCAACTAGCTTGCTTGTTCAAATTGGGAACTATGATAGTACATCTTTGTTAATGCTAGTAATTCATGAAAATGAAGCCCTTGTTTTTAATCCTGTGGTGCATTTGATGTTGAACTAGAAATAAAGCTGAACAACTTTTGGAATTTGTATTTGTGTGAGCTTTGTTTGAGACTGAAGCATGCTTTGAAATGATTTTAACCTTTGTTTAAGTGGAACCTAAATTGAATTTGCAATTATCATGTCTTATGCATTTGTGATTGATGTCATGGATAATTTAAAATATTTGGATCTTCTTACTCTCTTTTGCCACTCTCTAAAAGATCCATTTAGATTTCCCACTCTTAACTAAACCTCCTTTCATGCCAAGACATTAATAGTGTGTGATATGTGAGGCCTCTTTCCATCATGGTTGTTGCTTAGCCAAAGTGTTGGGTTGGAACTACAAGGGAAGTATTTCCATTGTAGAACTAACTTACTTTTGAGTTAGATAGGCTAGGATGTTTGGGGAATGGTTTGGGATTTATTTTTGGTTATTCTTTAAGAGAAGCAAAGAAGAAAAGAAGTAGAGGCACAAAGAAAAGGAGTGTGACACAAGCAAAGGTGGAAATGGCGGTTCTTCGTTCCAAAGAAAGAAGGCTCATGTTCAAAGAATAAAAGAAGATGCAAGAAGTGCAAGTCAAGTAAATTAGAAAGCCAAAGGCGAAATAAGCACCAGCATCACCAAATAAAGGAGTTAAACTCAAAAGAAGCAAACCGCCACCCTTTGACGATCTAAAGAAGAGCTTTTGGGTCTTTAAAAGGGGTTTAAATTCTTTAAAAGGGTAGCATAGGTGGGTTTACACTGGTTAGCTAGAGTTAGGAACATATAAAATAGGTCTTCGGTAGATGGAAGTCTTCCTTTGTATGTGTAAGTTGTTATTTGACCCTTAGTATTTTTCAAAAGCACAACCATGCTTTTCCTTGATAGAATCCTTTAAACACCAAAACTACTTTGAGAGGTGGGATCATTTATATTCTACTAAGCCTTGTCCCTTAGCCAAATGACTATCAAACCAAATAAGCGAACCATGCATATAATTGAGATATCAAGCCATCAAGTGAACCATATGCATCAACAATACCATATTAAACAAAAGTAGCAAGGTTTATGAACCATCATCACTTTGCATGAGATGGAAACAACAGAGAATAAACTAGTCAAGCCTAATCACCCCTTAATCACATCTTAATCACCACTTTCCCAACTTAGAACTCTAAATCTAAGGTAGACTACTCACAAATCATGTTTAATACCATTTGTTTAGCGTTAAACATTACTAGATGAGATTAAAATGCAAAGATACGGAAACTAAACTACGAGGGTGCTAGATCAAAGATTAGAAGATAAGATTAAACCATAAAATTGCAAAATTTATTAAAGGGAAAAGATCTAGAGTAAGTCGCCCTTTGAGGTGCAAGAACAAGATGAAAAGATAAGGATTTTATAGAAAGTCTAGGAAAAGATA